CTGCTTCTTACACCCCCCGCCCCCATCCCAGATACAAACACAAAACGCATGCCCTATAGATGCTTTCTGGGCATTCTTAAGCATTTCTTTAGTGTGGAATGTGTTATGCGCTGTACCATACATCATGTCACAGTAACACCATGGGAGCCTACTATGATTGGGCATAAAGTGTTTGGATGATTGTTTGTTTTAGTCTGTTCAAGCTGCTATAACAAAAATACCACAGACTGGGTGGCTTATAAACAATAGAAATTAATTTCTCATAGTTCTGGAGGCTGGGAAGCACAAGATCAAGGGAGCAGCAGATTCGGTGTTGACTAAGGGCCCATTTTCTGGTTCATAGATGATGGCTTTTCATTGCATGCTCACATGGGGAAAAGGGTGAGCTGGCTTTCCGGGGTCTCTTATAAGGGCACTAATTCTAAATTTATGATGTCTCTATCCTTATGACCTAATCACCTCCCAAAGGCCCCACCTCCTAATACCATCATACTGGTGATTAGATGTCAACATATAAATTTTGGAGGAACACAGATACTCAGACCATAGCATTGCTGTTTTGGATGATTTGATTTAATTAGCAAAACCATTTCTTCTAACTTTCTTTTTTAAAAGGAAATTTCCAAAATGATAGTCCATACTCTATATCCTAGTAATCAGAATGTAGGAAATATAATTGAAACTTTCCTTAATGATGTAGGTCATCCATTAAAAGAATGTTGGTGGACTGTACAGGCAAGTGCTGTCCGAGCTGGGTTTTGATTCTGTCAGAATTCTTAGTTGCATGCAGCAGAAATAGACTTTGGTTTATTAGGGATAGAGGGTGCTCACAGAAATATATAGAGGACTGGAGGCACCCAGTCTTGAGGCTGATCTTCCAGAAAAAATGTCTAAATACCAGCCATAGGCCTGGTCCTATAAGAAAAGCACAACCACTGCAGCCACTGAGCACTGGGTAGTACAGTTTTGTTTTCTAAAATTTTAAATCCTTTCTCAGCTATATTAATATATAATTGACAAATAAAAATTATATATATTTATGGTGTGTACAACGTGATATTTTGCTCTATGTATACACTGAAATTATTAAATCAAGCTAATTAACGTATCTGTCACCTTAGATACTTGTGTTTTTGTGGTGAGAACATTTAAGATCTATTCTCTTAGTACTATTCAAGCATACAATACATTATTATTAACTATAATTATCATGTACAATAGAGCTCCAGAACTTATTCATCCTTTCTGGCTGAAACTTTGTACCCTTTGACCAACATCTTTCCATTTCCTCTCTGTCCTGCTCCCAGTTCCTGGCAACTGCTGTTCTACTTTCTGCTTCTGTGAGTTCAAATTTTTTTAGATTCCACATATAAGTGAGATCATGCAGTATTTGTCTTTTTGTGCCTGGCTTATTTTACTTAGCATAATGTCCTTCAGGTTTATCCGTGTTGTTGCAAATGACAGGATTTTCTTCCTTTTTAAGGCTGAATTGTATTCCATTGCATACATATGCCACATTTTCTTTATCCATTCATCTGTCAATGGACATTCATGTTGATTCTCTATTTTGGCTGTTGTGAATAATGCTGCAATGAATATGCAAGTACAGATATCTCTTCAACACACTGATTTCATTTCCTTTGGATCTATACTCAGAAGCGGGGTTGCTGGATCATATGGTGGCTCTATTTTAATTTTTTTGAGGAACCTCCACATTGTTTTCCATAATGGCTGTACTAATTTACATTCCCACCAAGAGTATATGAGGGTTCTCTTTTTTCTACATGCTTGCCAACACTTATTTTCCATCTTTGTGATAATAGCCAATCTAACAGGTGTGAGGGAATATCTTCTTGTAGTTTTAATTTGCATTTGTCTGATGATGAGTGTTAAATCAAGTTTAGCCTAAAGCCGCCTCCTTACGTATTTTAAGTTCAGCCTAAATGGTTTTCTGTACACCAAGAACTATAACAAGTGGAGGTGTAACCATGCTGTAACCTACACTTGTGCCAGTCACTGAGTTTTGGTCAATCAAATGTAGCCAACTGTTCAAACCATGTTCAAACAAGGCAAATGCCAAACTGAAATCAATCCAGCTGTTTCTTTTCTTTTTTCTTTTTTTTTTTTTTTTGAGATGGAGTCTCGCTCTGTCACCCAGGTTGGAGTGCAGTGGTGGGATCTTGGCTCACTGCAATCTCCGCCTCCCGGGTTCACGCCATTCTCCTGCCTCAGCCTCCGTAGTAGCTGGGACCACAGGCGCCCGCCACCTCGCCCAGCTAATTTTTTGTATTTTTCGTAGAGACGGGGTTTCACCGTGTTAGCCAGGATGGTCTCAATCTCCTGACCTCGTGATCCGCCCGCCTTGGCCTCCCAAAGTGCTGGGATTACAGGTGTGAGCCACAGCGCCTGGCCCAATGCAGCTGTTTCTGTATCTCACTTTCCTTTTTCTGTCCATAAATCTCCCACCACGTGGCTGTGCTGGAGTCTCTGGGCCCACTCTGGCAAGGAAGGCTGCCCAATTTGTGACTCATTTGTTGCTCAGTTAAACTACTTTAAATTTAATTCAGCTGACATTTGTCTTTTATCATTAGTGATGTTGTGCATTTTAAAATATACCTGCTAGTCATTTGTATGTCTTCTTTTGAGAAATGTCTATTCATCTTCTTTGTCTATTTTGTAATCAGGTTGTTTTCTTGCTATTGAGTTGTTTGAGATATATCTATATATCTATATATCTATATCTCAAAGGAGCTTTGCCTTGCAGCTACTGCTGCTGCTGCTAGTATGAGAGAAGGAGGAAGAGAGAGAGAGGAAGACACAGAGAGGAAGAAAAGAAAGATTAAAATCGCTTAGTGTGAGAGAATTTTCTGTACCAAGTTTCGTGCGGTTCGGCAGAACCTTTGCTTCGAATGTGCCCACATGGCAAGGGACTATGTGACATTTTCAGCTCCTCTAGGGGAGACTGTCCATCTTTTCCCCACATCAAAACTCAAACAGTATGGAATTCCCCAAAGAAAGGGGTTCCTCAGACACTTCTCAAAAGAAGACATTTATGCGGCCAAGAAACATGAAAAAAAGCTCGGCATCACTGATGATTACAGAAATGCAAATCCGAACCACAGTGAGATACCATCTCATGCCAGTCGAAATGGTGATAATTAAAAAGTCAAGAAACAACAGATGCTGGTAAGGTTATGGAGAAAAAAGAATGCTTTTACACTGTTGCTGGGAGTGTAAATTAGTTCAACCATTGTGGAATACCTTGTGGCAATTCCCAAAGACCTAGAGGCAGAAATACCATTTGAACCAGCAATACCATTACTGAGTATATGCCCAAAGGAATATAAATCATTCTATTATAAAGACACATGCACATGTATGTTCATTGCAGAACTATTCACAATAGCAATGATATGGAATCAACCCAAATGCTTATCAATGATAGACTGGATAAAGAAAATGTAGCACATGTACACCATGAAATACTATGCAGCCATGAAAAGGAACAAGATCGTGTCTTTTACAGGAACATGGATGGAGCTAGAAGCTGTTATCCTCAGCAAACAAATTCAATAACAGAAAACCAAACATGGCATGCTCTCACTTATAAGTGGGAGGTGAATGATGAGAGCACATGGACAGGGGGTTGGGGGAAACAACACACACTGGGGCCTCTGGGGAAGAGGTAGGGGGAAGGAGAGCATCAGTAAGAATAGCTAATGAATGATGGACTTAATACACGGGTGATGAGTTGATCTGTGCAGCAAACCACCATGGCACACATTTACCTATGTCACCTGCACATCTTGTGTGCATGTACCCCAGAACTTAAAAGTTGAAGAAAAAAAAAAGAAAGGGGTTCCTATTGGGAAGCTAAGGTGAACATTAGGCTCCCACTTTAGGTTAAATGTGTAATATTCCCAGACAAATCTTGACACTTACTTTCTTGCATATGTTTTTGTATGAGCCCAATTCCTCATTTTTTCCTCAAGGAAGTGGAGTGCAGCCTGTGCAATTGCTAACAGCATAATGTAGTTGCCTTTTTGCAGAAGTGATACTGAGTAAAAACTGAAATCTCCTAGGGTGTTTTCTTTTCCTCAATAAAAATCTGCAATATTCTTATAATTAAAGTTTGGCTTCATAGCACTGTTAAAAATATTTTCTTATTTTAGTGCCTAGAGCTACTTGTTTTAGCTTTATGGGATTTTTTTTTTTTTTTTTTTTTTTTTGGTTATCTGGTAGAATTTCAGGATATATACCTTTAAAGATGGGTGCTGCTTTTTTTGTGACTACAGACATAATTGGGGATTCTCTCTTTGGCTGAATTTCCTTAGCATCAGATAATTATGAGATCTAGATTTCTGGATATAGGTTAATTCAAATTTACCATTGTCTAGTTATTAAGAAGTCAGAATAGCATTTACTGTGTAAATCTGGGCAATTGATGTTTCTCAGTTTCCTTTTTTAACGAATGGAAGTGATTCTTCTCAGGCTGGACTCTCAGGTGTTTGGCGAGTGGCTGAGATGACCGGCAGAGGGGAGAGGTGGAATGGAGGGGAACCCAGAATTTCCTGACTCCTGGACTCTGTTGTGCTTTTTACCTCCAAAATCATCATCCAGAAATCAAACCATCTACACTCTTGACTTTCAGCCTTTTTAGTATTTACTGTACGCCCCAAATTGGCCAGTTTTCTGATTTTTAGAAGGATGGATAGTGTATTTTGGTGGGAAGGATGAGAAGGTTAAAAAATATTATCTAAAATTAAAATGCAATATTTTGGAGAGAGAGATCTTTGGTTTAGAACCAGGCTGTAACACTGACTGTGCGAACTTGGGCAAGGTATTTAGCCTCTCTGAATTTCAATATCTTTCTCTGCAAAGTGGGGATAATAATGCTTGTTTTGTATAGCCTAAGTAAATGTCGAATCCGTTCTTCTTTGGAGTTTATTCATGTGCACCAACCCTATCCCCCTTGTGGTGACTTTAATATCTTTTTACAGTGCTGCTGATGGAGGATGCTGTCAATCCAGAGTCTGACAACCTCTCGCTCCTATGTAAGTCAAATGTCATTCTTGAAATCATAATAAACTTATCAACTTTTTTTTTGCATAACTTGATGGGGTTATGGAATTATAACTGTTTTGGAAACATTCCAGCCTAGAAGCTATATACCAGAACAAATGAGATCCTGACACAGTACCTCCTCCAAGGAATTCATTCTGCTTTTGGAGACTAGCACATGTATTTGCTTTATATTATGTTTCCTAAATTATATTTATTTCTTTATTTTAGAGTAATGCAATAATTTAAAAGAAAGGACTATCTTGGCTTATTCCTCCTAAAATACCACAGCCTTTTTCATTAGGATGTTTCATTTAAAAAATAGTATGTGTGCATTCCTTGCCAACCTTCCTAAAAATTCACTGCTGGGCAGAGGAAGGGGTTGATAAATAAAAAGTAATTTGTTCATAAAATTTATAAGCCCCTGGAAATGAAGGCCCTGGAAGAAAGTGCCAACTCAGCTTTAAGTATGAGATAATAATCAAAACAGCAAATGTACCAGTGCATTATGGTCAGAATAAATCAAATGGCAAGTCTCGATGTGAACAATATGGAAAAAACAACTAAGTGAAGAAATGTCAAATGAAGGATTACCTTCACTCTGGAAGTATCTATTCAAATCATAAATTCAGCCCAGGATTTCTGCTTCCTAAAACCTAAGGACTTCTACTGAACAACAGCACTGCACCAGCAGCAACCACAACAAAAACAACAGAACCCTTTGTTTTCCTGCCAGCTTCTAGCAGTTTCGTTTCAGAGAGAGAGAGAGAGAGAGGCTTTTTCTGTGGACTGTGTCTTTTATTGAAGATTTAACCCTAAAAGAAGGGCTCCTGAAGGCTCAGCTTAGGGTTGGCAGTATATATCATCAATTAAATATAAGGTTGCTTTTTTTTTTTTTTTGAAACCAGCCTTTCCATAAGAGCTTTTGTTGACTATTTCGGTCTTGATTTCCCAAAGTAAATGTTTCATTGAGTTAGCATGACTTTATTATAATAAAAACTGTATTTTTATCTTCTGTCCCTTGACATTTATTCCATGGAACTAGTTTTTTTCCTGATCCTAACTGAAAGAAAATTTAGGGCAAATCATTGAATGCTTCTGGCCACTTTTAGTTAACAGTAGGTCTTCCTGTTAGCATGTCCAGGCCAGTGTAAAAATATAATCAGTAATTTCATTCAATGTTAATGCTTCTTCTCTTCCCCCAGCTTGGGCCAACCGCATTGGGCAAAAGGAGGCCTGGTTGGCCTCTTCTCTTTTTCTCCAACGTACATCATACCCCTCCTCCCTCATCTTCAGAATGAGGCCACCATTTTGGATCGTCTTTCAGGGAGAAGTGGGACATGCTAGGGAGAGAGGGGTCCAGCCAGGGAAGGCCTTAGTGGACTAGTGATGTTGTCAGCTGGCGGCAGAACCTGGGCTGGCAGGCATTTGAAGCCAATTGTCTTGGGGGCACTTTGGTGGATTCTTTGGCTCCTACCTCTGCGGAGCTCTCACTTGGAATCCAGCACTAAATCTGTTAGTTCTGCCTTTGAAATGTCCCCCAAATTCAATCATTTTGTATCTCTTCCACCACTTCCCCTGCTCCGAGCCACCCCCAACTCTACCCTGCATGACTGTGGTGGGTTTCCTTGCTTCTGCCTGTGTTCCAGGAGTCTGTTTTACACTCAGGACAGGTATCTTTTCAGTGTGTAGTTCAGATCATGTTATTCCTTTGTTCTGACTGTCTGGTGGTTTCCTGTCTCATGCAGAGCAGAACTCCCAGACCTCTGAGGGACCACAGGCCCTACAGTCTTGCCTTTCCCCCGCCCTACATTTCTGACCTCGCCTTTCACCACTCTCACCTTCCTCACTGTCCCAGGACACTGGACACCCCGTTGCCTCAGGGCCTTCCCATTTGCTGTTCCTTCTGGCCAGAATTCTTTCCCTCAGATATGTACAAGGCTTATTCTCTTACCTTGTCTAGTCTTTTTTTTTTTTTTTTTTTTGAGACAGAGTCTTGCTCTGTTGCCCAGGCTGGAGTGCAATGGCGTGATCTTGCCTCACTGCAACCTCCACCTCCTGGGTTCAAGCAATTCATCCTGCCTGAGCCTCCCAAGTAGCTGGGAATACAGGTGTCCACCACCATGCCCAGCTAATTTTTTTGGTATTTTTAGTAGAGACAGAGTTTTGCCATTTTGGCCAGGCTGGTCTTGAACTCCTGACCTCAGGTGATCTGCCCGCCTTGGCCTCCCAAAGTGCCTGGATTACAGGCGTGAGCTACCATGCCCAGCAAAGTTTTTGTGCAAATGTCTCTGTCTTAGTAAGCTTTTCCGTGATCAATCCATTGCAAACTGCAAACCCTCCCTCCACCAGGCCTCTCCCTGTGCTCCTTTCATACTTTATTTTTCTCCATAACACATTATATTTTGACCTACTCTATATTTTACTCATATAGTGTTTTTCTCCTCCATTAGTATATACTTAATAAAGGAAGAATCTTTATCAGTTTTGTTAATTGTTGTATCCTTAGTTCTCAGAACTGTGCTTGGCACCTAGTAGGTGCTCAGCAATCCTTTTGAATCAACGAATGAATGTTTACATGGATCTTGTGTTATTGTAACTCACTTGCATACATAACTAGCTCTCTTTCTAAGCTCTTGAGAGTAAGGTCTAGGAATTGGTCATTTTGTGTTCCCTACATCTCTAGCTCAGTGCCTGGAGCAAAATAAGTTCTCAATAAATATTTATTGAATATATTGAAGAATGAGTGAATCAGGAAAGATTGCTGGAGATGTGGAAAGAAAGAAACAGAAGAGTGAAGCTTCAAGGCAGATAATGTGGTTCAGATATTTCAAGGAGAGGAAACCATGGGATTTAGGATGGGAAAGGGGGCTGGAGACCTTTGAGGAGCATGGAGTGGAGGATGGGCCCCAAGTTGCAGTGAGTGGAGGTGACTGAGCATAGACGGTAGGACGTGGAGAACTCTGTCCAGAAGAAGCCTGTGAGGGAATGAAATTGAAGTTAGCCTGACAAGAAGCTGGTTGGGGGAATATCTATCTATCTATCTATCTATCTATCTATCTATCTATCTATCTATCTATCTATCTATCTGTCTCTGTCTGTCTGTCTGTCTATCTATGTATGTATCTACCTACCTACCTACCTACCTATCAGCCTGCAGGAAAACTGAAGGTGTTTGTAAGATGAATCTTTAGTGGAGAGAGAGATTAATTGAGATGGGATAGATGAGGAATAAGATTTGGGAGGAGGCAGAAGGAGTGTGATCAAGCCAACAGGAGAACTGGTCCTGGGAAGCAGTATGGCTCCCTCTTTCTCTGAGGTAGGAGACATTCCCTGGTCTTTGCTTGGACAGGCATGGAGAGAGGGAGGGAGGGAGGGAGGAAGCCACCTGCACACCTATCCATCCATGTGTCTGTGTCTTTCTATTTGTCTAGTCATTCATCCATCTCTTCACCCATCCATCTTTCCATCCATCTATTCATCTCTCTAATATTCCATTTTTCTTAGAACCCAGTCTCATTTCCCTGGTCCTTCTGACTGCTCATCCTCAGAGATGCTGGGGCAGTAGGTGGTGTTCTGAGGTGAGGCTTACATATGGATAACTTTTCTCCAGGCACTTGCAGCCCTCCATGGCAAGATGGGAGTTTTATGTCTTTTGAATTTTCCTGCACAGTGATTTCTCCAGCCTAAAGATCACTTTGCGTCAGATCTACACAGTGCACGATGAAAACAACAGCTTTCTAGTATTTAGAAATAAGGCTTTTCAAAGTACCTGAAAATCCAAAATCTCCCAGCTAATTGTTTACTTTCACTTAGTTTTCTTTCAGACTTGGCAAGATGATTACAGGTAACTCCCACCTTTCCCTACAATATCCAGGAAAAGAATTGAAAAATGCTGCCCCTCCATCCCCCATAATTACCACTTCTATTTATGAACAATGGAAGGGAACAAAATAAAAATAAATGGAAGAAATGAAAAAATAAATTCACTCTGACTTGACACTCTGTCCAGTTAATGAACCCTCCAGAGGAACTGCATTCACATTGGCACGTGTCGAATGATGGAATAACTCAATATGTGCACTCATTCAGGACATTTATAGATTATTAATTACTCACACACGGCATTCAAGTCGTGAACGTAATTACCCAGAGTCTGTCTTTCCTTGCTAACCCAGCATCTTGGACCTGTTTCTTGAATCACCCTCAGGTGGTGAAGCCCCCAGATATAGCTCTGTGCCACTCAGAGTCATTTTGGCAAAGCCCTCCCTTAGCCTCTGGCTTCGATTGACCTGGCAGCTGCCCCATGCTAAGCACCTGCTTTTATGTACTGATGCTCAGAGCAAAGATGTTATGATGATTACGACACCTCCTATCATGCTGTAGTCACAGAGGGCCACAGGAAGCAGATTACAGGGACTGATTTATTTCGGAGACTTAGGAGAGATTCTTGCTGCCCTTGCTTCTGAATCTGTGCTTAGAGACAGTTTAAAAATAATGAAGCTGTTAGCCAGATCAGAGGTCTGCTGAGCAGATGGTCCAGGAGGGGCCAAGAGTCTCAGCTGATGGTAAACCAGGGTGGAGATTTGGAAACAGGGGCTTCCTTGGGGGAATGTACTCTCATTCCCAGATGTGGAGTAGTTATTTCAGTAGTAACAAGGATGACTTAAAGAGGGCCCAATCTCTGACATGACTCAAGGCTCAGGTGTGTGGAACTTTACACTGCAAGATTTATTTTCACAGTGCTGGCTGAGTTTTTGCCCCAAGTCCAGTGGCTGTGCCTGGGTATGTCTTGAGGAGCCCATTAAGATGGAGCCAAGACTTTGTCTTCATTAAGGAGAACACAGGGTCCCTCTTTCTCTCTCTCTGCAATGTACTAGTATTAGTTTTCTGATTGTAAACATAATATATGCTGATTATAAAACACTAAAATTTTAGACATATAGTAGAAAGTCCCCTTAATTGTACCCCCACAGATAAAACCACTGTTATA